TCATCTTCATACTCATTCCAACAGTGATCCGACTTCTGTCCTTTACGAAAGCAACGCTTTTCGTTATTCCTGATTTCTACCAGCACTTCTTTTATCTGTGCCACATGTTCAAAAGTTTTCTAATCGCTCTGTCAACCCTGAAATTCAAAGAATACCGCGAAGCGTTTGCACATTTACTTCACTGGAAAAATTAACTAGTTTTCTATCAGAAGAGTGACGAAGTTTCCACATATAAGATATGCCGCTTTATGTTTACATGAATCATTTTTAGCATGTATGCGTAGTATGGTGAGCTTCATAAAACTACAGGAACAATAAAAATTCATATTTTTGTTTGTGCCACTTCTTCGCACCTTTACAATGGATTTATCTAATGGCAGATAAAGGAGAACAAGTAAACTGTATAAACCAATGAAGTTGTCCAGTAAATTTTGGAGTTTTAATAGGAGGAACTTTGGCATGCGTGCTGCAATGTAATAGGTCAATGGTGAAATTTAGAGCACTGCCGTACCGTCTCACAGCTAAAGCCATTTTGGAAACTGTTTGTGACATTTCTGTATCGTTCATTCAACGGATGCCACTCAGCTGCCTCACACTGCTTCAGCAACCTGCTATTCTTTGAGTTCCGCTACACGAGAAACTTCATCATCCCGTACACATGAGATGCCCAGTACAAAAAAAATCAATGGTGCCCCACTTAATTCGTACCATAATAATAATAAAATCGCCTACCTTAAAGTGCTGTCTCTTGCCTTCTAAAAGAATAACGTAATAACTGTCTTGATGATGAACGCTGTTAAAACGCGGGCACTGAAAACTGAAATTAATTAATATCTTGCTGCTTGTCATTAATAAGTACTGACATATCATACGTTATATGTAGTGTTCTTCTTCTAAACAAAAACAATTTACGATTAGAAAACCACTTCAGCAGCCGGGCAAGCCGCACTAGAGATAGAAGGCTCGAAATCACAAGGAATGGCGGGTTAGATGTGGCAGGCGCGATTGGTCGCCGATTAATGGTCGCCAAAAGTGATCCAGGTGCATAGTCATGGAATTTGATTTCAACATTTAATTGCCACTTCAGCTGTTAGAGACAGCAAGAAACAGATAGATGGTAGCCAGTGTTTGTTTTGTCTGAGGATGAGCAGTGAGTTAGGTTAAATCGTTAGTAGTTATAACAAACTTCCATCTGTCTGTTACAATAGACTTCCATCCATCTATTTCCTTGTGCATAGAACTACTGAAATAGCAATCTATCGAAAAAGAAGACAACGAATTAAAATGTTTCAGAAACCATATTTCACGATATTCTACATAAGAAACGTTCTATAAAACTTGAGCGAGAATATTGTTACAAACTCAGAGCTAACATGTATCCATTTACTAACACTCATGTGATTTATTCGATCATTCATTCATTTGCCCATTTTTTTCATTCATTGATTCGCTCATTTGCCACGAAGACAGGTTCAGTTTTTGCACTGCAGTTCGTGCTTGATCAATTCATGAGGCAAGTTTTTAACTCCTGTCTGCTTTTACCTCCAACACCACCGTTTGATATTAAACTTCTCTTCTCGACCCATTTGCACTCACTTTTCCATAGAGTACACCAATCGACATTTTTCGAAGGTGCAAGCCTCGGTATTGGTCAGGCTGAATTTCACCCAGTGCGTGTCAGTTTGATCAACGCTACGATAGTCATCCTGTGATGAAAGGAACTTAACGAGACCGTCTAAAAACAACACATGCAACTCCAGCTGTACCGTTCTCCACACATCGCCTACGTCCGCCGATCTGGTCCGTAAAACCGTTAAACAGGAAAGGTGACAATCCCACCGTGCATTTTGAAGGGCACCGTTTCCCTGCCATTAAAGCGGAAACGGATCACTGATCGGTCAAACAAGCGTTTTGTCGCCCACAGTAGGTGGTCACTCATCGCTGTATTCCTCCAACATTTTCACTGCTTCGACCGTGGCACTAGAAACTTACATGGCGTTGAAACATGCATACGCCTCTTTCGCCTCGAACCATATATCTTAAAAACCTGAAGGAGAGCAAAGGCTTGACCCAGTGTGCTGTGCCTCAGACGAAAGCAGAAGAGCGTGGCTTGTTCTGAACCTTTGGCTCCGCTCGTTGATACTATCTCTGCATTCAGTGCATAAATAAACTTACTAAACTAGGTATATATTTGCCTTAATTGCCAGTAACTAAGTTCATTCACGCACAGTGGAGAATTAAATATAAACTTTTTATAATCCTCCTCTTTGTTCCATCTTGGAGAGTAGGCGGCAGCCGAAACACGGGATGATCCAACGGGTAAAATACGCTAAAAAATACTCTTGAGCAACTAAGATACCAACGAATGCCTGCACTATACCTCGAGGCAGTTAATTAGCAAAATTCTGGTAACGACGATGACCTAACATACCTTGATCCTAAGGCTGGTTTGTTCAAAAGAGGAACCCAGACTGCACAAACATGTGAGGGATTGTTGCAACCCTTTCTATTATTCCCATAGGAAATCACACGAAAATCTATATTCTCTTGGGTGTCATTTGTTAACACAGAGTGATGAATCATAGGCAAGAAGAGCAGAAGTTATTATGGAACGATTCCTGGAGATGGCATCAAGTCGTGAAGAATTGCTCGCTCCAATTTCGATGATAAAAATCTTAGAAATGTGGCCAAATAACGGAGGTTAAACATGTAGTTCAAGTCGTCCCTCATAGAAGTAAACGCAACAGTCATAACATTCAACATTTTAAAATGCTTAGTTTTGCCTGTTGTTGCATGTCTGGTTTTAAATTATTAAACTTTAAAGTTAATTTGCAATTGGCCGTTTAAATTCACGCCTCAGCAGCGTTTGTTCGACCAGTAATTCTGGGCAGAACTGTGGTTGACCGTATAGCACTTGATAGCTTTCGAGTGGACACTGAAGAAAGATGACCGGCTTACAGTTGGAACCTGGAAAACGCGTGAGCTTCAATGCCCCGTTTCTGGCCAAACAGAAGACAGCGATTCGTCTAACGAACAAGGAAAACTGGCCAATCATGTATCGCATTAGCCTTACGTCGCCTAAGCGCTACAACATAGACAAAATGAACGGTACTCTGGCTGTAGAAGCGTCCACGCTTGTGGTCATTTACTTGAACGCGCTGAAGTTCCGCGAAGGTATGAGGGACGTGATCACCATCGAATATTGCCGCATACCGCAAGACTACTCCCTCAAGTTCGACGAAAAGTTCTTGTCCGAAAGTGATGTGGTGCTCAGAAGGACGCTTCCCGTCCACTTCAACCTCTAGCGGGCTATTTATGTGACGATCGCGTCGTACTCAAGTGATCGAAATTACTGTATTCGTTTATTTCGCATTTATGCTTAAACTTTATTAATATATATTTATACTTTATTAATAATTGCATAAACCTTTAAAAACGGCATTGCCTTTATTTGTCTTGTCAAATAAAGAATCACACACATTTTCAGTCACCTATTCATAGCCCCTCCAATTGCATTGAAATTTCAAAATTTATAGTTACTGTCTTGATTTTGTTTTAGCTTAGTGTGAGCCAGTTTGAATCGACCGTATTTACTTGCTGTTCTGCTGTGGTAACCTAAGGGGGCCATTTAAGTAGGTCATGGCTCCACGGCCGTATTTAAGCGCCTGTAGCGCTTAGGACGCATGGCTACGTTTCTTAACTGGATTTAACAAAGAAATGCCCAAGCCCAAACCGCGAAATAAACGAGAACATAACCTCGATGTTTTGGGGTGGACTCTATGAGTTGAGTTTTGAATACATAGCAATGCACAAAGGGGCGGTGCAATATTCTGGTATTTCTTAGTCTATGATTTTCATCTGTCTTACACCGCCGCATCACAGTATTGTTGTAAAGAAACAAATGAATTTTTCTTTCTTTACGCTCTACGCTTTCGTCGTATGGATATTTTCTAAAAACTATGTATCGAGGGCGGGATCAAAAACTCCTCTCAGGGAATCTACTCCAGAATATCAGGGTTATATTTTCATATTAGTAGAATTCTAATATTGACTTCTGAAGTGTGCTTAAGACTCAACCAGGATAGAAATGGAAAAAACGCAGCACCAAAAGTTTTTTTGACAAAAGGTGCCATAAATGGTGTATTTTAGGGAAATTGACATCCAAACAGTCACAAACCATCCATTGTTTCTTTTCGCCCTGTCATTGATTCATTAACGCAGTATCTGTTGTTAGTAATGACGACTGTATGACGGTGACACAGTGGCCACTTAAGCAAAATACACCATCAGATGTTGATAAACAGTATGATTTTCTTCATAAATTAGGTAATGCCCACTGAAAAGGAAGAAAATTGTGGTTTTTGACCTTGGAATTGGAATTCTCCCGCATATATACATGTAAGGAAGGGATCGTTACAAGCAATGTCACTCTTTCATAAAGTTCAGGAAATGGAATGTCTTTTCTTTCACGAATATCTGCAATTAGGCAGTAACTGTTTTAGCATATGCTATGCTGACATTCTCATTGAACATAATGGTGTACATGCAAATTTTAGCCATGCAATTCAAAGTTATGCTTCGAATATCATTAAATCCTTATGATATTTGATATGTCGTTAAAACTGTCTCTGGAACATCAGCGTCACCGCCAGATCCATTGAACTGAATATTTTATTTCCTTTTCTTTCCTTGCTGCTGTAACGTACGAAGGATCAAAGTTGACCAGCCTGACTGTACCATGGATCGATCACTCAGTGATGAAATTAACGTTTCCACATGTTTGTAGACTTTGGCTTGGATGTCATGTCGCCAGAGCTGAGCACAAAGAATGCAGAAAGTTAATTTGAACTGACAATTTATCATCGATGAGTGTCCTCCTTCAGTTGATGCGTTTCTTGCTACATGTGTTTCAGGGAAAGACTTAAAACTAGTGCAGGAAGAACGACCAAACACTAGATTCTTACTGCTGATCGATTAGCATACGTATGACACAAATGGTCCGCTGAATGGCGAACTTTAGTTATGCATCGTTCAGATCCCACAGTTTATTTATGTAATAGAAGCAACCGGTGACAGCTAGCTAATTTAGTGGCATCCTTCGATCCATCGGTTATGAACCGCGTTTATATACTTCAGTGATTTGTCTTCCTTATTCATTTCAAAAATAAATATCTGCCTTTCAGTCTTGTGCCAGTGCAGATTGCCTGGTAAACAGCTTCATGATTTTTGTCCGCACTTTCGGAGACAAACGTGGCGTCTATCAGCCTGTATCAGAGAAGAATTATGTCTGGCTATGAGGTTACCTTGTTTACTCGCTGACTGCGTTTTCGCGGTGGTGCCTCATATACAAACAAAGGCAGACGATTGAAAACGAGGCAATAGAGTGACAAACGAATTGCTAGCCGGCTGTGGCGCCATGGTAAATCTGGCTGGCACGAATAATTGGCACGATTGCTATCTGTCAGGTTTGACATCGCAAGGCAGCATACTTACAAGACTGGAAGAAAGGAGATCAACGAATGCGTCACTGGTCATATGTTTTGATGTTTCCTGACTTTCAGGGTCGAGAATGGCTGAGACAAAGGTTACGAAGACCCCATAACCCGCTGCTTTCTCCTTGCAGTGATTGTGCCCGATTAATACATTTGGTTTAATACGCCGTGACATCCATGGTTCTTGAATTCTTTGGAGGAAACCCAGTAAGGGAAGACGACACTAATCCCTCTTTGACCAAACTGACTATGGTGCCTAGTCAAAATTTTCATTTTGGCTGAAAACGACTGGCAGGTCCTGTCGAAACCTGCTCCCTCCTCCAACGTTGTATGCTACAACGCTATGTATTTATGATAATCTTTTGTTCTACCGGCAAACATACTGCAGCAGCGATCCAAGCATACTTGCTGCATTGAGGGTCCATTCAGACAGTCACCTTTGAAATTTGTCGTCATATGTGGGCAAGACAGTCACTGCATGATCGAACTTTATCAAACATGAAGTTGTGGAAATTGTACCGTAGTGGTCTGTTGCCGTAGCAGTGGTAGTTACGAATACTTAGATGAGGGAACAACGATAGGTTCATGGCTAATAGTGTTGTTGTTCGACTATAGCGGTTAACCAGTTACTGTTTTCACCTCACATTATACTGTCTTCCAGCCCTCTACGAAGTTAATAAAAGTTGAATGACTGGTCCGTTCATGCCTCTCAAGCAAACCTTCCGAGAAGACACCAGTTTATGACTGAACCGCTTGAGATCACCATCTGCAATGCAAATCTGACAAGAAAGTAAGGCAAGGACTTTTCGTAGGCGCGTCGACTGCTTGAACAGAATGAAAATTTTCTAGAAAAATGTAGATGTTGAAGACATCGAAAAAAAATGGTTATACTAATTACTAAAAATAGAAATAATCCTTCATCTGGCGGGCACGATTTATCGATCATATGTCTAACGCCACAACAGAACATCGTCCAGTTCTCATCGACGGGTTTCATGGGATGCACCGACGGTGTGCTGAGCCGTCAACCAAAAGGCGACAACACATGACGCTGAACGCCATTGCGATCCAAGGATGGCACCGGCAAAAAACGGACACACTGAGTTAGACGTGGTGGGACAATGTCGGAGCTGAAGTCGAAGTGCTCCTTGAGCTGCCAGTGCTACAGCAGCAAAAGAATGCCCCTCGGAACTTGGCAGCATTGTAGGAAGTCATTGCAGCCGGCCAAACAAGTGATGGTCACAGCCATGGCAACAAAAATATCGATTAAAATAACCAATCACTGAGCCACTTGAATTTTCAAAGCATTAAAGTATGGTACCAAAGTATTCCACAAAATTGAACCTCTTGCTGTCCTCCTTCTCAACTGATGATGAGGTCAGTTGTTGTTGTTTCTGAAGTGCTAGGGTAAATACGACGCGTCACTCGAAATAATGAATCACACAAAATTTGACTGACAGTAGGCAGTTATTGTGAAACAGTGTTTCACTTCGTCAAGAAGTTTGTGTCTCCCAGAATGCC